CATTTTCCTGTATTGAAAAACATCTCAGTCACACAGGGTATGGGATCCAGCGTCACACACACACACACACACACAACATTTATTTCTCACACACAGGCATGTCACTCCATTTTTTCAGATTCAATTCAGCCATACCAAGCTTCAGTTAAGACAATATGTAGATAACCTTGTGTGTGGATAACCTTCTAGCCCTCACCCTGCCCATCTCGTGTCCTAATTAGGGCCACTCTGTGGCTTATTACCAGTTGCACTAATTCTTTCTGCTTTTGGTCATTTTTCCTTATCTAGTTTGGTAAATGAGAAATAAGGAGCAAGAGTAAATTGGAAAGCTTCTGATTATGCAGAAAATCTTAAGGACCAAAGGACCGTTTCTGCCAGGCTGTGCTACTTGTCACTATCAAATTAAAATCCAACTCTCAGAATGAAGAAAAAGACCAGGATTGCTTTTCATCATATGCAGATTTCCCCCATAAAGGCACTTCACAATTTTAGGCTAAGCCCGTGTTTGGTGTTTATAATCCTGTGTTTTGTAAACAACACATTGGCCTTGTAGCAGATTACATTTCCTACTGCATGCATCCTTCGGCACCTTTTTTTCCTGAGATCAATGATGCTTCTTTAAGCATTTGTCCAGCTGTTTATATCCTGATCACTCAGTTTCCCTAACTGCCAAGTTATAAAATTCCCCCCAAAATAAATTCAGATGCGTTGTCAGTAACCCCTGTTTCCAAGAGCCCAGGCAGACCAGCATCTCTCCCTCGGCCTGTGTCCTCCTGAACTCTCTGTCCTTTGGCTTCAACTTGCACAAGCTGTTCTCTGACTAGGTTCTGAGACTTCTCTTCACTGCCAAACTTGGCATTCCCTGAAAAGTTTTATTCCTTCCTGACACATATGTAAGGTGATGAGCTGCATGTAGGATACCAGGCTGAAGGCTGTTTTCCTTCCAGGGCTAACAGGATACTCTGTTTTGCTAAGGTGCTGCTTCGCAGCAGCCAACACCATCATCCCTGGATGTCATCTGTTTTTAAGGGTTTAAACCTTCTCTCCTGGGTGTTTTGTAGTTTAAATGGTGTGCCTTTCTCTGTGTCCTCCTCTGCTCCCCTTCCCTCAGACTGGATTTTAGTGCTGATAACTTCCTTCCCCATCATCTGTTCCCCATGGCCTGAGCTGGTTGTCATCCATCCTCAAGGAAACCCTGCTCATCACGTGAGCTGGTGTCATTCCCTGTCCAGGAAGGGAGGCCTTGGAGGTCTTGCTTTCTGTGTGTTCACTCACGTAAGCTGCCTTCTCCAGACTGTGGCCCCCGCTCCATCCTCTGTGCCTGGGGTCCTGTAGCTGGCACTGGCTCTGATACATTTCTTGGGAAAATAAGGCTCCAGGGTGAATGTTCGCAGCGCCCAGGTGGCCGGGGGCTTGGCAGGGGGGCGGTGAGGGTGCCTGTGCCTCACAGACTTTCATGAAACACGCTTATTTCCATCCTCATCTTAACCCACTTTTCATGGAACCCAAAGCCTCCAGTCGCTGAGTCTCTCTGGGATTTATGGATAGAACTAGTTCTTACTGGAAACTCACTCAGCAGAGAGCTTGCGCTTACTAAGATAAGATAGCATGTCAGCATGTCAGGATATATTACTATTACTTATTATTATATTATTATATATATATATATTATTCCTGTGTGAGTATATTATCACTGTGTAATATAAGCAAGGGTGGGGAGCAAGTTGGCCAGAGAAGGTGCTTTTTCAACATCAAGTGGAATGTGAGAAAGAACCCAGCAGCAGAAGATAAAGGAGGCTCTGCCACTTCCCGCTAATTCCCAAGATTGGTTAGTGCCCCTTCTCCTACAGATACTCCCATAGCATCTGGATGTGCTTCAATTACAACATTTACCACCGTGCGATGTGGTGGTTATTAAATTACAAGTCTATTTCCAGACTTGGCAGGGCCACCAGCATCTGGGACCTTGTCTTATTAATTTTTTGTTTTCCTAGAGTCTCATACATCATGTTAGGTATTCAGTAAATGCTTTTTCCCCAGCTATATTGAGATATAATTGACAAATAAAATTGTAATATATTTAAAATGTACAAGATGATTTGATGTTGTGCATTGTGAAGTGATTAACACCATCAGGTCAATTAACACATCTATCACCTTACAAAGTTACCTTTTTTTGTGTGAGAGAATCCTTTAAATAAACTCTTAGAAAATTTCAAATATGCAACATGAAATTATCAGATGTGGTCAAGATGCTGTCCCTCTTCAGTATATAATCATCTTTAACTGATCACCACCTCCCCATTTCCAGATCCCCCAGACCCTGGCCACCATCCTTCTACTCTCTGCTTATAGGAGCTTGATTTTTGAAGTTTTTTAGATTTTACATACAATATTTATCTTTCTCTGTCTGCTTATTTCTGTAAGCATAATATGCTCTAGTTTCACCCATGTTATTTCAAACATCAGAATTTCCTTCTTTATTGTGACTGAGTATTTCTCTCTCTCTCTCTCTGTGTGTGTGTGTGTGTGTGTGTGTGTGTGATTTTCTTCATCCATTTATTGACAAACATGTAGGATGTTTCCCTGTCTGGGCTATTATGAATAATGTTCCATAAAATACTGGGTGTAGATATCTTTTTTGAGATAGCGATTTCATTTCCTTTGGATATAACCCAAAAGTGGGATTGCTAGATCACAAAATAATCCTATTTTCAATTTTTTGATCAATCTTTTTACTCTCCTTAATGGTTGTATCAGTTTGCATTCCCTCTAACAGTATACAAGGATTCAGTTTTCTCCAAATCCTTATTACCTTTATGATTTATTGTCTTTTTGATGCTGGCCATCCTAACAGGTGTGAGTTACATCTGATTGTGGTTTTCATTTGCATTTCCTTGAGATTAGTGATGATTAACATACTTTTATACACCTATTGGCCATTCATTGTCCTCCTTGCAAAAATATCTATTCAGGTCCTTTACTCGATTTTTGAATTGTTATTTGGGTTTGTTTTGTTTTGTTTTTTCTTTGATATTGGGTTGTTAGAATTCCTTATATATTTTGGATATTGACTCTTTGTTAAGTTTTCTCTAGTAAGTTTTATTAAAGTTTAGTTTATATCTCTCACAGTTCACCCACTATGAACTGTCCAACTGAACAATTCAACGGGCTGTAGTTATTCTGGATATTAACTCTATAACGGATATATTATTTGCAAATATTTTCTCCCATTCTGTAGGTTTTCTTTCATTGTTGAGGTGGGTCAGCTCTGTCTTATTGTGCACCCCTAGATCATAAAATAATCCTATTTTCAATTTTTTGATCAATCTTCTTACTCTCATCTTCACAGCATGGCACAGGGGAAGCACGTGGATGAAAGAAGTTTCTGGTTCACCTAAGCTTCTGTTCTCAGACCCCACTGTGATGGACAGACATACTTTCCTGCTTCTCTGCATTATCTCTGCCATTGCCATCACCCATCTGACCCTTTCCTCTAAGCTAGACCATTCTCCATAAAGCTTCTCCAAGGACCTTGCTGGACTGAGAATTCCTTTACTTTGTTCCACTTCAGGAATTCCCCTTTTTTTTTTACTCTCAAGACTCTTCCTGATACTATCTTTCTTTGAAATTGGAGATAAGATTCTTGTTGCAAACACCAAAATTCCCCAGCCTTCATATCTAATTTGGGTGATTCTTACATTAAATTACTAAAAATCTATAATCTATTAAGATTTACTCAGCAATAAGGGAAAAATGAATTCAGACTCAAATTTTTTAGTATTTTTTGCTTGACACATTCATATCTTTAGAAGAGGAAAATGATTTAAAAGTGTTGGAGACATAATGTTTATATGCAGAAATTCCTTTCCATTTATTTTCAGGCTTGGGTTTAGGAATTTTGGGCCCAAGGGAAGAAGCTCCTATGCACCCAAATAATGTTCCTGTATTCTTAAAATACAGGTTAAGATATCACCTCTTGAGTACTATAAGGAATTATCTGGAATCATTGCTGAATTACCATATCTAAAATTTTTTGTAGTGTGATATTTGCAACAAGATAGAAAAATCTATGGAACCGAATAAACATTGCAGAAATTGACCACTTCTACATGGATAATAGCTTTTCAACAAAGATACAAAAGCAAGTCAATGAAGAAAGAAACATCTTTTCATCATTCGATTCTGAGAAAATTCATATCTCTATGCAAAAACACCCAAACCATCTTGCATTATAGCTCATAGCACACACTAAGTAACTCAAAATAGACAACAGACCTAAGGGTAAAATCCCTGAGCTATACTATTTCTGGAGGAAAACATAGGAGAAAATCTTCTGATAGTGAGCTATATAAAGATTTCTTAGTGATGATACCAAATCACAGTCCAGGAATGAGCAAACTGATTAGCTGGACTGCAGAGTTATGGCAGCCTTATCAAATCATGTCCATCGAGCTGCTGTACTTTGCTATCTCATGCTCCTGAGAATCAGTTCAAAAAAATCAAAGTCAATTGTATGCTGTTCTTCAAGAACTCCAGGCCCGCTTACAGCCTGGGGGGTGTCCTTTCATGGCAGAGTAGCCCTCTTGCTCAATGAAGATGTTCTTAAATCCTTTTCAACGAAATCCCCCTTGTCCTGTTTGTTTTCTCTTTGAACAGATACTAACCACTCACTGTATGACTGTTGAATGTAGAACTCACTTTAAAAAAATAATAAAAGACATTATTTTCTTTTGGCATAGGCCAGAGGTGTGGGGGGGTGAGGGGATCCACCAGAGACAGAGTAGGGGGCAGAACAGGTGGGTTTACTGAAATACACTAAGGGGAGCAGCAGGTAAGACAGGAGAGGTCTGCTGTGCCATGTGTGGGTTAGCTCCCTGACTGGGGATTAAACTCAGGCCTTAGCAGTGATAGTGCTGAGAGTTAGCCCCTAGGCCACCAGGGAGGCCCTTGAACTCACTTTTAGCGGTGTAATATTAAATGTCTGGAATTTCTTACAGGCTGATCCCAGCATAGCAAGATGGAGAGTGAATATAAGAGAATACTGTTAGTTGTGGGCCTGGATTACTTGACTGATGAGGAACTGAAGAGACTGAAGTTCTTCCTTCCAGATGAGTTTAAGATCTCCAAAAGCAAACTAGCAAGTGCAAACAGGACGGAGGTAGCTGACTTGATGATTCAAAGTGCTGGGATCACCTCTGCGGTGACAAAGACCATACGTATTTTCAAGAAGTTGAATTACAGATATGTGGCAGAAAATCTTCAGGAGGAGAAGGAGAAAGGTAATGTTCACCCACCTTTCCAGCCCTTTCGTCTGTCTGTCCTGGACCTCCCCCTCTGTGGCTCCATGGTGGAAAGGGCTTGTGCATGTTGTCAGAGTGTCTTTCCAACTTAAGGCATGCCCCTTGACCCCTGTGGACTGAGAGTGAAGTGTTTTCTACAGATTCCACAAATCTAGTATTTTTTTCTTCATCTCTCATCCATTTGCCATCTCCTAATCTTTTCACTATGCTATGGACATGGACAGAGGACTTCAACATTCAATTCTTAAAGTCCTGTTATTATAAGTCTATAATATTCTCAAATTTTACTGGAAGTTTGAAGCTAATGGAAAGAAGTTATAAACTGAAACATTGTAAACGAGGCGGGTGGGAACCAGCTTCTTCACCACATCATCTGTCCATTGCATTCCTCATCCTGACACGTCATGGCCTGAGCTGACCTTTCATCAGCAGTCTTCCAATCACATGTCCTCTGCTTCTTAATCCAGAGATACTTTCCTCTTCTCCATATCTCCTAGCACTGATGACAATATAAATTTCCCATTAAAACACTGCTTGTCATATTATTGAATAAATCACTGACCGTTGCCACTGGAAGTACCTGCATCTGGCTTATATTCCTTAGTTTGTTCCCTAAGAGCCATTGCTGCATCCTGACTTTATATCTGAATGGATGGAAATGGATAGAAAGAGGCAAAAGAGGATCACCTTACCTGTGGACTCCTCCCAAAGGATCTCCCAATGCAACCATTTTGGGATTTTACATACAACTCTAGCAGCAAAAACTGCATCAGCTTTTATATAGTTTGATATATACATGACAGGGATAAATGGCTTCTCACACTTACAATGATTTCTGTCATGGATAAATGACAAGTGTAAGTGAGGATATAAAGTGTAATGTGCAGATGACTGTAGTATCTGCATGTCATTGTCCCATGCTCTGAGGTCAGGTGAGGCAGTACTTAGAGATGGCCTCGTGGTGGCAGCAAGGACACATAACTGACAAAGTAACCCACAGTCTGGGTTTATCTGATTCTGAGCCAGGAATCTGGAAGTGTTGGCAAACTGAAGATTTTTAGCAATGTCTATTATTTTTTCCACTGAAGACATGAATTTTCTTTTCTTGTTCCAGGATAGCACCAAATTTCCCCTCTAATCTTCCTTTTGTTGTAATGATTTTGTTATTCCAACTAGGTAAAAATGATGCAATTTGGAAGAAGCTTGAAAATTTAGGAGTGACTGGTAGTTGTTAAATTGATTTAAGAAATCAATTAAGTCTCTATTTTATGGCTCTAGAATTCCATCCCAGGTCTCTCAGGTAGACTTCGGATCAGCAAATACACTTGTGCCCTGGGCTGCCCTTCACTCTCTTGGTAGGACGCCAGTTTTTTTTTTTTTTTTTTTTGTTTCTCTCTGTAGGTTTTGTCTTTCATCTTTTGTTGAAAGTTTTTTCTCCATTACTGCTGCCCATCTACACAGAGTGCTGCCTCCTCCTCTCTTCGCAACCTCACCTCATAGTGTTTTCAGAACTCTAGAGCAGATTTGGAAAAAATCTTGTTTGGAGAGACAGTTGATAACAAGTAGATGGGACAGACTTTCACAGGAAGAGATGGATTAGAGCACTCAGCCAGGGAAAGGAAGCTGAGGGAGAATGTGGTCGACGTGTGTGAAAGTCCAATCAATTAAAATCAAAGGTGAATGTGATAAATGAAATCATAAAACATCTGCACACCATTATTAAGAATAATGACAGTTACATGGTGGGTAGATGTGGTCTCCCCAGAATCTCCTTGGTGTTACTCTGTGTGAAATGGAAACAGCTACAGTGCTGTGGAGGGTGTGAGGTCACTCCCTGGGCTGCTCTTGGTTGTTCCCTCCTATGCTGTCAGCACAGCAGGGAGACCTCACCTGCATCTCTCTGAAATACTGACTTCATACACTAACTTACCCTAAAAGGGTCAGAGCAGGCATCTCTCTAACTTCCCTGCCAGAGAGCTAGCCACTTTCTGCACTTTAAAAGATTGTGACAGAACCAGCTACCTCTGAGGCAGCTCATTCCACTTTTAAACAGCTCTGATCATGAAGTCATTCTTGCTGGTAAATTGAAAGTGATTCCCTTGTTACCTGAGCTAAGAATGGCTCCAGGCATTTCTCTCCTTTCTTCTACCTGAGAGCCTTAACAAATTGAACATGGCCTTCTTGAGACATGGTCTTTTAAAAATCAGGTCTAGAAGTTGACTTTTCATGACGAAATATGACTGGAGCATAGACCTGGATGTCCAAGCCAGATTGTGCAGTGGCCTTGTGGTGGCCCCAGGAGGAGCAATTAAGGCCCCTGCCCACCCACTCACTGTCCATTCAGTGAGTAGCTAGTGAGTTCCCAATGGGTCATAGAACTTTCTTAGGTTCTGCTAGAAACCAGGGAGTTTGGAAAAATCTCTTTTTTTTTTTTTAAAGATTTATTATTTATTTATACAAGCACTGGGTACAGTCAGAAGCACGGGAGGGTAAGAGAATTCACCAGAGCCAGAGCAGGGAGCAGAGCAGGCAGAAGGACCAAAGCACACTGCTGAGGGGAACAGGGGGCAGCAGGAGAGGTCTGCGCACCATGTGGGACCCTCCTCCGGTGGCCGGGGAGCAGCCGGGGATCGAACCAGCACTGTAGAGGCTGCGGGCAGCTTCGCAACCCAGCGCTCAACTGCTGCGCCACCGGGGAGGCCCTGGAAAAATCTCTTTAGAAGGCTGGTTCATCTATATATTTCCTTTCTTGATGCTCCCCCATTGCTTTTGGAAAATATTCTTCGAGGTATTTTCCATTGTTTGTACTTGTTTTCTGTAGCAGAGTTTGTTCATAATAAGCAAGTCCTTGATCATCAGAACAAAATCTCTTCATTTATCATTGTATTCCTGTACCTATATCTCTGAAAGTGTTTACCTTATATCCACAATAGGTCAGTACAGCAGGTGTATGTGTGTGTGTGTGTGTGTGTGTAAGAGAGAGAGAGAGAGAGAGAGAGAGAGAGACTTTTGACTCAAAATCCTAATTTTACAGAGATTATGAAGAAGATACTTTTGTTTTCTTCCTGAGTTAAAATGATATTTAAATTTTCCTTGCTGCCTTTGTTCATCTCCTTAGGGTTCATGTGTATGTATGTATTTACTTATTTTTAATCAGTTGATGTACGATACAAAGGGGAAAAAAGAAAAACAGTTGGGAAAAAAGGAAGTCAAGCCAAAAAGATCCCTGCTGCCGCTGCACCTCCCAGAAATGACTCTATGGGACCAGGCACTGCTCCTGCTGGCTCCCCCCATATCAAGGTACAGTGGGCGAGCGCAGTGGCTTTTGCCCTTGCAAGAGCATCCTGCATTCCTGACTTTCATGCCTGAGTGATGAGTATTTGAGACCACAGTGGGTGGCGGAACAGGGCATCTTGGGTCCTAATGGAATCAATGGACTCAGAAGGACCGGCCATGTCCCTCTGCCTCAGCTTGTTTCTCTTTTTTTGGTCTCAGCTATGTGGCTGGTTTTCTGAGGTTTGCATTGTATATGGAAGAAGGTTCCCTCAGTAGTACCTTCTTTACTTAACTGATGTCTCCCGTGTGTTGTCTCCAGCCTGAGGAGCAGCAGGCGGTGGCTCAGCAGGAACCTACCAGGGGAGAAGGGCTACAGAAAGACCCTCTGATGGTCATGGTGCTGAAAGTAACGAAGCCATTAGAATTTAAGACCCATGGAGGGATGCAGAAGATGTTTCACGCTACAGTGGCTAATGAGAGGAATTTCTTTCTTGTAAAAGTTTTCAACATGGAGCTCCAAGATAAATTCACCCCAAAGAAAACAATTAAAATATCAAAATATCACTGGCAGAGTCACTTCCTAGAAGTGAACAACAACACGCTTGTGTGTGATGCTGAATCTGATCAACAGATGAGTGTCCCACTGCATATCAAGAGAAAAGCGGGTGAAACCCCAAAGATCAGTAAGCTTCAGACTCAGCCCCTTGGAACAATTGTGAATGGGCTATTTGTTATCCAAAAGGTAAGTGTCTATGTATAATTTTATATTCATTAATGGACCTCCCCGGTGGCGCAGCGGTTGAGCACTGGGTTGCGAAACTGCCCGCAGCCTCTGCAGTGCTGGTTCGATCCCCGGCTGCTCCCCGGCCACCGGAGGAGGGTCCCACATGGCGCGCAGACCTCTCCTGCTGCCCGCTGCTCCCCTCAGCAGTGTACTTCGGTCCTTCTGCCTGTTCTGCTCCCCGCTCTGGCTCTGGTGAATTCGCTCACCCTCCCGCACTGCACTTCTGACTGTACCCAGTGCTTGTATGAATAATAAATAAATAAACAAACAAACAAACAAATAAATAAATAAAATTTTATATTCATTAGTAAGAATTGATCATTCTCTACTATGCACTTGAGAAACTTTAAAAATTGCTCACTTCAAAGTCCTTTTGCTATAGGAAAAAAATCCTGAAACAAATAGACTCTCCCCAAACTATAGAGAAGCAGAATGAATGTGTTAAAACTGAAATACATAAGCAGAGTTTTTATTCTATAGCAGCTGTCCCAGTCCTATTTCAACTTCTATCACTATAGCTTCTGAAAAAGAGATTACTTCATATGCAAATATTTTCCCTCTGAGTCATCTCTGTGCTTTAGATATATATTATCTTTATTTAAAGTGATCATTGTTTTGAATATATTTCCATAACTGAGTAATGAATCAGATTAATTAAACAAGGAGACCAACATATAAGACAGGATTTTGAAGATGTGATTAAAAGAAGAAAACAGAAGAGAGTAAATATGAGAAGATTTGTTCAAAGTGAGAATAATGAAATATTTGACTCTGAGTCTCAGGGGATTACTGTGTGATCACTTCTTCTGATCTGGAACAGAGGGGGCCTGCTGACTCTTCTTGAGGACAGTCTCTGTTGTCTTGGGGTTAGTTGCAAAGGAACTGAGGGGGGAATCTGTCCTTCTGTAGAATTCAAGTAAAGTTCCTTTGGATAAGAAGTCATGTTCTTTACTGTAGTTTTGAGACTTCAGTCTGGTCAACCATCCACAAGTTTAGGTTTATTAGCCCATTAACCTAAACCTGAAAGTACATCAATCTTCTAAGTTCAATAAATTGTTTTTTGTACTTTATTCTGTACCCGTCAAAACTTTTCCATTCTACCCTGCTGGATTCTTTGACAAGACTGATGGAAAAAGTCAAATTAACAGGAGAAAAACAAAAATTTAGTTTTGTATATGCAAGACCTTCATAAAATATTGGACTCGTAGACAGCTAAGCAGTTGATGATTACATGCTATCCTGAGGTAAGGAATACAGATGTTTGCATCCTATGCAGATAAGTCTCTGAGAGGAAACCATTATTCCTAGTCTCTTTCTAACTTATTTTAAGAATTATGAAGTTTTTGGGAAAATACTTTTTCTGAGGAAATTGATTGCCTTCAATTCAAAGCAATCCATGTGCATAGGTGGCACATTTTGGTGACTTACTCTGCTTGCCCTCATTCTAACTCTTAGAATCTTTTCTAAGTGTTATATCATTGCCTTGCCTTCCTGGATTTGTTGCTTTCAGTGACTCTCCTCCACCTTCTGGATTGTTTTTCTGCTTGCTCTGGCATCTGGCTGGAGAAATACATCTTCTCCATCTTCCAGTCATTTGCTCAATGGCAACCCAGCCTCCAGAAGGAAGCATGGGCCTGGAAAGGAAACTCAAGAGGCAACACGCTCTAAGAAAACCATTGTGTCTGCTACTGGAATTTGCTGTCATCTACTCCACATAGAACTGCCACTTTCAAAGCTGGGTTTTTACCTTCCTTTCTTGAGCTGTTGCTGGCACTTCTGATGTCTGAGTGATGGGATTCTTTAATGAGATTGTTAAAGATTTGGGTGTTTACTTTATTTTTCAGAAAACAGAGAAAAAAAATCATGTATCATTTGAGCTTAGTGACAAAACAGGGAGGATGGAAGTATTGGTGTTTGGAGAACAGAAAATGAGCCACTGTGAGGAAGGGGATAAACTTCGACTCACATTCTTCGAGCTGTCAAAATCTGGAGAAAAACTACAGTTGAAATCAGGAGAACACAGTGCCTGTAAGGTGGGGACTCCTGAAGGAAGTCAGCTCTCCAAGGGATGGTACTTTCCATTTGCTTTCACAGACCTGGCAGGTGCTATTGGACAGGATGTGGTGTGGAGACACTGATAGTTTGCTTTCATCTCACAGACTTAGGAACCTCCTTTTCAGGAAATGCACATGTTAGATGGACAGAACATGAGCTTGGAGCAGATACACACTACGGTGCCCACACAATCCACAAAGAGCTGAGTGATGTCGCTGTTAAGTCTACTGAAGATACTCTGCCCCATTGTGTGTAAACTACTCTCATAGATGTATAGACAACTAGACACAAACCATGTATACCTCAAGAACACATTTTTCAGTCTATCCAGCCATCCCTACATCTACCATGATCTAGAAACTGTGTCAAGATAAACTACTCTTCTCTTTTATCTCTCCTGCATGTCCAGCAGGGAAACTAAGTCAGAATAACTTGCTCCTGCCCATCACCTCTCCTGACTCTACACCCAACTGCACTCCTTATCCTCCCCCATGTGTTCACATTACCTGCTGGTTCTGTCTCTTTTGTAAGAATAGGTAGACTGAACACACTGGTGCATGTGTCCTTTTAAAGTTATATTCGCTACATCAGCCAGAAATTAACTTCAGGAGAGTGAAACATGATCAGAAGGGAGGGAAGGAGATGGTCATATGAGAAAGAGAGATGCACTATAGGAGAACGGAGTTGCTGCGGCATAGAAGGGTAACTTATCAGCTACGTCTGCTTTCTTCTCCATCCAGGTTATTAAAGCCAAAAAAAATTAAATGGAAAGGATCAATTCAGATCCACTGTCCTTAACAACATTTCACTGAAGAATACCTGGTCCAGCCTCTTCACCTGACCATGAGCTCCAGAAAGCGGCAGTGCACAGGCCTCTGCCCCAACATAGTAGACAGCATGCAACAATTTCTGGATAACTACTAAACATATTATTACAATAAAATTTTATTTCTCATCATTGCGAAGCTGTCCACAGCCTCTGCAGCACCAGTTCAATTCCCTGCCAGCCAGGGAGAACACCACATGGTGCAACAGACCTGCCTTGCCCGCTGCTCCCCTCAGCAGTGTCTTCACCCCATCTGCCTGTTCTGCTCCCTGCTCTGGCTCTGGTGAGTTCTCTCACCCTCCCGCACTTCTGACATGTACCCCAGTTCTTCTATAAAATAAATAAATAAATCTTTTTAAAAAATTGGGCTTTTCTCTATGTAGATATTCAGGGATATTGTAGTCTAATAAATATCTGTTGAATGCGTATGATGATGAATATGAAATATGTACTCTGTGTAGTTGTAGAAATCAATATGAGCTAAAGTCATAAATAACATAATTCACAGAAGACAACTATGAAAGGCTTATAATGTGAAAACATTGTCAACATTACTAGCATTATCAGACCATTAAAGAATGAATAAGAGTCAGCTTTTCCTTGGAATGCATTCAGTTAGAGTCTTGCTCCCACCCTTTCAACAACAAAATAAAGGCAAAATCATCTGCAAAATTACAGATTTCTGAACACATCAGAGGCTTGGGGCCACAAATGAAACATTGAAGCAAAAATCTGAGCAAACAGATGTACCTCCCAGAAGGGAAAAACACCTCCTCACTCCCAGGCAGTTAGTAGACACTGAATACCTGACAAGATAGAAGAATCAAGAATGACTTCCTCAAGGTGGACCTTGGGCCAGCATGAAAATACCATGCCACTGGGAGCCTCAGTCACCAGGAGGATCTGCACCCAGCTCTGTACTTCTGCCTGGATTCCACTCGAGGATGTGTGTGTGTATGTGTGTGCATGTGTGCACGCATGTGTGATTGTGTATGTGGAGGGGATGGTAATAATTAGTCACTGTGAGACTGGCAGAGGCCCTACTTGGTCCTTCCCTACAAATACAAATCCTCTGGTGGAAGAGAAGCAAGTTTTGCCATCTTTAGGGGGTAGATGAAATACTGAAAAAGGGAAGAACAAGTTATTCTACACCTGGAAAAAGTAGGAATAGATTCTCAGTGCAGAATTTAAGAGTACTCCGATATCTGGGGAGATGAAAGCCTCATCCCTAAGATTCAGGGACAGTGCCCACCAAAGACCGAGGCTGGACCAGAACAGCAGAGGAGTCCCCTCTGCTCTCCCTACAACCTGCACTTACCACCAAGCTAAACAGGACCTCCTCACTACAATTAACCACAGGAGATGGTCAAGAGCATGTAACAAATGTTTTCTTAGTTCAAGTGTAAAGGGAAGACTTGTAAACTGATGGTACAACAACTGAGGAATTTTAAGCCTATAGTTGTGAAATGACATGAAGTCATGGAATAAAAATTTTTAACAGTGAACATCCAAATTGAATCCGGGGTCACTAAGAGATTACAGAGTTCATACACGTCTGCCACGCAGGATTGCTTGGTAACTGGGAATAACTGAACACATCAGCCTCAGTCAAACAAAGAGAGTGGGACACGCTATAAGCAAAACACAAGGAAGATTATTTCTGGCAAAGTCTCTTTCCCTTAGTGGGTGGCCAGGGGTTTTATCATACAGATTTACCTCACTACCTCTGCCTGGGAAAATCCAGATTGATTGGTTTAAAATTCTACTTTGGGGAGAGGATGGAGCTACAATTAGGGTAGGTGTGAAGTGTTGGTAGGGCTCAGATGGATGACTCCATTTAGAGCCTGTCGTTCCTTTTTTTGACAACCAGTTTCTCAGATAAGGAACAATTAAGTTGATTACAGTTTTGCATAATTCCAAATAAAACCTCTAGAAGTATTCACATGCAGATTTTTTGTGTGAACATATGTCATCATTTCAAGTGGTTAAAAAAATGGGGAAAGATTGCTGGATCACTTGGGAAGTGTATTTTAAATTTAATAAAATTGTCAAACTGTTTTCTAAGGTGACTGCACCATTTTTCATTTCCACCTGCAGTGTGTGAGAGCTCCAGTTGCTCTGTGAACTCCTCAGGGCTTAGCATTCTATAGGAGTATGTTTTCTTTAAAAACTGCCAAACTTTCAAAGTGCTTGTAGGACTTGGCATTCCCACCTCCCCTGAAGAACAAGTTAGTTCCTCCTGGGCTTCATCAGCACCTGGTGTGGTCTTTCTTATTCAATTGTCACCTTTTGAATTGGTGCTTCATGGAATCTCACTGTACGTTAAATTTGCATTTCCTAAAAATGAACTAGGTTGTGCATCTCTTCATGTGCTTACTTGCTACCTATGTGTCTTTATTTGTCCATTAAAAGAATGTAATTGTTTTCATGTTGTTGAGTTTTGAGAATTTTCACAAATTATGGGTACAAGGTATCTAGTAGCTATGTGACTAGCAAATGTTAAGCCATTTCTAGTGTTTCCATTTCATTCTTTCTTTGCCTCCCTTTTACTCTGGAAGTTGTCTCTCCAATGGCATGTGCTTTCCAGCCATTTTATATGTCCTACCTAATAGTGCCGACATCAGTCCCTGTCTGACTTTGGTTCTTTTGATTGTCTCCTGGCAGATTTTCTTTTCTTCTACTTTGTGAGCCTCACACTTTCATTGAAAGTCATCTGTGAGGATAAAGACTGAGGCATGTCGTGCGTATGTCTGGAAATGAGCATAGATTGTCATTTACTATGTCTTTTCTATGGGCACTGACTTAATCTGGTGAAGAGCACATCTGGGTCTGAGATCTGTTGTTGCTTTTTACTTTCAGTGTGTGCTATGTAAACTATAATGAAATGAGCCAGCACTTTATCTGCAAGTACAAACAAAGCTTTTGTGGGCAGAGAGGCCTTTAGGGAATGGCAGTCCATGTGCATGTTCCAACATGGGGAAAGAATGCAATTCTTTGTGATTATAAAAATCTTCCATTTATTGCAACTCCCATGCATGCCTTCCACTTGCTAGATGAGATGCTGCCTGATTCATGAATCATTTTGTTGCAGGGGAACCCCAACGTGAAAAGGGTTGACCTGAGTGTGGGTCCTCACCCACGCGCTTAAGAAGGACTTATAATGAGGCTCAACTGCCAGCGCACATAAAAGGTTAATAAAGGGTTTATTTACAAAGAGGGGAAGTGAAGAGAGGAATAACCCAAGGAAAAAGAGAGGAGATAAATGGGGGAATGCATCCTACCAGTTCTGCTGAGCTGGGACCCCAAAAGCATGCTGAAGGCTGGTGAAAAACCAAGCAACCAAGGCCCATGTGTCTCTGGTTATATATCAAGCGTGGCTGCTTAACTCCACCCTCAGTTCCCAGCAATCCTTCCTTCAGTAGTGATGACATTTGGGATTTGCAGTCCTTGGTGCCTGGATATCTTCTGCTTGGACGGGAGTGGAGTCTGTAAAACCTAAGTTTGTGGAGTTTGTTTAGGACATCTTCTCCCCCTAACAATTTAATAAAGTCAATTAGATCTCTAAGTTTATTTGGATGAATTTTGCTTGAAAATTTTTTTAAATTTTATTTTTATATTCCCCATACAATTGCAACCCCCTTATTTTGACCCCCATCCCTCCTTTCTCCGCCCCTCCCCCCATAGTGTGTCTCTGATTCATAGCATTAGGGGGAAAAGGATGTCCCCGTTTTATATCAGGGCTGCCCTGTAACAATAGTTGTTTGTTGATTTTTGGTTTTTTCTTTCTTATAGTTATTCTTTTTCCTGGTCCCTTATTTAGGTTTTCTAGATTCCTGCTATGAGTGAGACCATCCGGTATTTTTCTTTTTCTTTCTGGCTTATTTCGCTGAGCATGATCCCTTCTTTTTAAAGAACTTTGGTGGATGCACACGATTGAATTCTACCCAGCATCACAGGAAATAAACTACTGACACACATAGCAACATTAACTCACGAATGCGATGGAGGACAAGAATAGAAAAACTGGAAAGGAGGTCTCCCAAGACTAAAACCTGACTCACACAAGGAGGTGGGGGGGAGGGGAATAACATGACCATTAACCCAGCCATAGAGGTCGTGACCTTTAGATACCAGTGCCTTATCACAAGGCATGAGACCCAAACACTATAGGGGGTGGAGCACAGGCCTGAGAGAAAAGATATGGAGATTGGGCTCACCCTGGAATCTCTGGTCCCTTTCTAGTTTTGCCTGTTACCCAACATTGGCAACAAGCAGGCCACTCCACGGAGGAGTGACCCCTCCCAAAGAGAAAAGGACTATATCAGTGCAGTCTCCGCACGGGCTCTGGGCAGCACTCCCACTGCCCACCTGTGACTATGCAGGTGCCTCTTTTCACCCACTCTATCCCTCTGCAGGGCAGCAGCTTCCTGCCTGCCCGTGACCTGCCAAGACTGCCTGCCTGCAACCATGCAGGCCTCTCTTAGCAAAACATGTCCCTTTTCCTTTCCCTAATAAACCCGCTCTTTATATATAACTAATGTCTGTCTCGTGGGAGAAACGCACCTGGGGAACTTGCCGCGTGCCGCTAAAATGGGAGCTCTGGTGAAACCTTTCCCAGAGTGAATCCTCGGACCCCGCACTCTGCAAAACTGCATCAAATGCACTAAACTAAGTGAAAGAAGTTAGACTCAAAATTCTACATTCATTTTTAATGCCATGTTGTGAAACTCTGAAAAAGCAAAAGTGTAATTGGAGACACTATCCTTGGTTGGCAGGAGCTTGGAATTGGGGGAAGAGTTGACAATAATGTAACGTGAAGGACACTTTCGTTATGATGTAACTGTTCTATAACTTCATTTTTGTGGTGCTTACACAAGTGCATAACTCATAGAACTTGCACTAGTAAATGTTAGCAAATGCACATGACACCTTACCCAAACAATGGGAAATGTGCCCAACTTGAAAGGTAGAGCCATCGGAGTCCAGGTGTGGTGAAGGACCCCGAGATTCCTGACTTCTCTGGTGGAAAGAATTCATGCAGGAGTC